AAAATATTCACCAAAATTAGAGAATTAAAGATATCATTACAAAATGAACAAATCTGAGAGAGGTCCACATGTAGTACCTATATATGTAATATCAAAGCAATTGCACTTGCGGTTTTTAACAAGAAGTCGAAAATATCACTTTTTAACAAAAATGACAAAAATATTCACCAAAATTAGAGAATTAAAGATATCATTACAAAATGAACAAATCTGAGAGAGGTCCACATGTAGTACCTATATATGTAATATCAAAGCAATTGCACTTGCGGTTTTTAACAAGAAGTCGAAAATATCACTTTTTACCAAAAATGACAAAAATATTCACCAAAATTAGAGAATTGAAGATATCAACATGAAATGAACAAACCTAAGAGAGGTCTACCCAAGGTACATATACACCAAGTATCAAAACATTCAGGCTTGTAGTTTTCAAGAAGAAGTCGAAAAAGTAAAACATTGACACGGACGACAACGACGGACAATCACTCATATGATAAGCTCCGCTCGACAAAGTCGACAGCGGAGCTAAAAAAAAAGGAAACAGGGGCGCAGCGCCCTCATGCCATGGTCATGCGCCCCCTTACCTGGGGAGCAGATCCTCTGGCAATCATGAAATTCTCATTGAGCATAGATCACATGTAGCCACAGTGACCTGAACGTAATTTTGGCCCCAAGGAAGCCATAGAATGCTCTATTTTAACTTAAAATTATTAATAACTCCACACCCTGGTAGGGATCGAGAACCCCATCTCCCCCACTTGGTGGCACCGCTGAATTACAGTGCTCCCTCTTGCAGTTTTTTTCTAGAAAACCCCCTGCTTAATTAAACTTATTCAATGGTGGAAAGTTGTATACTTTCATTATTGTGACTGACTTCTCAAAGGTTGTATTTAACAGAGTATAGGATATATAAAATACTTACACAATTCATTCCTTGACCATAGAATGGTACCATGGCATGTGCAGCGTCACCCATTATGACACCTGAGTTACCATAGTGATATGGAGTGCACTGTAAAAAAAATACACATACTTCTGTAAAGCAACCAGAGGGAACATAAAACAATACATAGGAATGAATGAAATAATAAACACTAATTTAGTGGAAGTCTAATGGACTCAAGTGAAATGTTTATTGAAACAACTTTCAATAATTTCAATCATCTTGTGCCCCATGAAAACTAGCACTAATTTAAGTGACACTATATAGGAAGCACTCGCACAACATTGAATGTTTATTGACGGTGGCCATTTTTTCAGAAATCTGCTTAAAGCCAGGTGTGCATCTGTGAGAAATATTTATGCTTAGCACAGTGTAAGTGAAGTACATTTTTTGTACTAGTAGATCAACCAGAACACCGAAGAACAATAATAAAACATTAGAATGTGTATATCTAAATTTTGATGGTGATTTACATAAAAATCCCATAATATTTCCTCCCAAAATGAAACCTACCTTAACAGTAATTAATGGTAATGGCTGACAGCCAAAAAATGTCTTTTTAATGTTTTCCTCTCCTATGAAAGGTATGGAATCTTCAAAGTTGTTATGCCAGAACGCCATCAAATCACTCTCAGTCTTGATCCCCTCGAACTCATAAAATGGCATAAACAGTGTGCATGTGAATGTCTTGTCTATATTTGGCAATG